AGCGCTCGAGGCTTGGGAACGGGGCCTCGCCGCCACGGGAAGCTTGCGGGCCGCGTGTTTGAAATCCCTGGTGTAGAGCATCGGATTCTGGTGGAAGTAAGCGTCGCGGTTCTGTTGCCATAGTAACCTAACAAGGGCACCGATTGGCTGACTTTGAACTCAATTGCCGTGCTATGAACATGTACCAAAGTGCTCTCGCGTGCCAATACGTCACTGTCACCGTCGTTGCGCGTCAGACCGAACGTTGTCATTTAGCCGATTGCTCGAAATCTCAGTTTCGTAAGACCTTTGCGTGACAAAAAAGATGCGTCGTGTGAATGACCCTTAAAGGGCCACTGACGCCCTAAAGGTCACATTTGTTTTTGTTGTCACAAACGATGCAAGTTATCAGAGACACGCAAAAAAATTTAAAAAAAATGCCAGAACGCGAAAAGAAAATTTCCCAAACGCGCGCGCCTTTTATTGTTGGCGCTTTTCTCTCCCGCTCCTCAAATCCCCGCTTTTTTTTTTCTTTTTTTTTTTAACGTAATCGATTATGAAGGTTAGAAGCTTTGTAAGGGACATTTGTTCAAATAATATTTAATGGCGGTATTCGTAAAACATCTTTCTAAACGCAATTGCAAACGCTCTACGGGCCCTCTTTTGAAAAACCGAAAATCGGAGTCTTGCGTGATGTCGCGTCTTAGCTTTTTATCCTCCTTCGAAAAACATGGCGGCACTCGACGCATGTAGCACTGAGAATGATCGGGGAATCGGACGAATTTCTCATTTTTTAGGTCCCCGACGACCTCTCAGACTTCAAAAAGGAAATCGTCAAACGGTCCAAACAACTGCAACATTTTTAAAACCCAAGACGGACGCTACAACGAGTTGACAAACACAAGACGTCTTGTGTTTGTCCCCTCTTTGTAGCCTCCGTCTTGGGTTTTAGAAATGTTTAACTTTAAGCAGCTCGCCTGCCTTATTGCGTTATCTTCAAAACAACTAGGTTTGGCGTCTTGTACCGTAGTTTCGGTTGTGGCTCCGCCGGGGCAGCCTTTCACGCTGAACCGGCGCGACGTGGCCCCTCACGTCCCTCACAAAAGTCCATTGTGCGTTCTCTTTGACCTCACACCGTTTCAGAGAATTGGATCACTGAAAGAGCCCTAAAAGAACTTAAAACTCGGAAGTGAAGCGTCGTCTGCTCACAGCAATAGGTAGCACGCAACGGTTGATCGCGGTACGCGTGAGAACACGGCACGGAGGCGTGAGAGGAACTCGAGTTGCAGGACGACTCAACCCTTGACGTCACGGCACTGGCGCGGATCGCGCAAAAACTTCAAAATCAGCTTTTGAGGTTTTTTTTTTTTTTTTCACTAATATTGAGTTTTTAATTTTCGAATTTTGATGGTATGTCCAGGCATCGTTTTCAATCCTTCCGGATAATTAAAAAAAAATTGATGATTTTGACCTGTTAGTGACTCTTGAATTCTTAGAGAAAAACTATGTTTCTTCTGAAAACTATTATGGTGAGAAACCAAAAGAATGGGACACTTTCATAGCCGAGTGTTAATCACGTTCGCTTATATAAGTTAAAAACAAGTCACAAGAAAAAAACGTAGTGCTTTGAGTGCTGCATATATAGGCAAGAAACATGTGTTATATACCGCCGAATGACGGGCAGTATTCTACCGATTCAACTATACGCAATATCAAGTAAGAAAGGTATGTACCTGGAGGGAAGCTATAAACCAACGCTTAGATTTTAGAGTTCAGATAATGTCGTATTTGTCGAGGAGTCCAATATTTCAGTCGCCCGATGCATTCCGGAGTAATCACCAAAGTACTATATATCTTGATGCTTCCTAAAGAATCGATCTCCGTGACCGCAGCTGGAGCGGAACGATGACAAAATCAGATTGGTCTTGGCGGGGAGCAGGCCGCTTTGTTTGCTGATGGATAGAGCCAAGAAGACTGCATAGAAAGGCTGACCCTGCATGGTAACGCACGTAGCGCGGTTGACTCCTCGGAAGGATCGATGGCCGTGTAGCCTCCACCGCTGACCGTTTCGAAACAGGCTCACAAAGGAGATAACTGTTATAATTTTCTTTCTAGCTGCGCATGTAGTACTATGTAACGTCTAGTTACGTAGCCAGTCTCCACGGCTTCTTTCAGACCATCTGGAAGAAGGCTCAAAGAAGAGATAGCTCTTCGCCTGCGTACACGTATGCATACGCATACGTAGATATGAAGATAAAACAGATAGGCGGAGCGTTTTTAGCGCATCCATTGTCCAGGGAGGGAACAAAAAGTTGGTAGGAAAGCGGGCTTTGTTTCGATTTCGGAGTAATGAGTTTTTGAGAACAAATGAGCTTGGGCGGACAAGAAGAGAGAGAGGCGGTTTTTCAGTGCCGCGCGTCGGTCAAACAAAAGCGCAATAACGAAATTCTCGCGGCCTTGCTGCGGAGCGCCCGGCAGCGTGTGTGTTCCCGCGGGAGTTGCCGGTCCCTTACTCGAGTTCATCGTACGACGGACCACGAGACAACGCCACGAGCCATCGAGGCCAATCCAATGCGGCGCGAGCGTCACGTGGCCTTCGGGAGACGCGCAACGACGCGAGGGGAGCGTCATCACGTGACACGTCCACGGCGCTGGATTGTCTGGGACGGCTTTTCCACTAAGGTCCATCGTATAAGATGAAACGGAGCATAGCTGCGCGAGATAGCGTCATCGCTTACCTCCGAGTCTGCCATTTTTATTGCCTATTTCATTAATCGCCGTGACCAGTTTCAATTTTAAATAAATTTAAAGTTTCTTCTTTCGTTTTTTTTTTTTTTTTTTTTTTTTTGCTTCCTTTGTGCCGAAGTAATTGATTTTTTTCTTCTTCTTCTTATTTACGTGAGCGCATGCGTGTGTGAAACCGCGTGCTGTTGCGTAACCGAGCAACCGCGTTGAGAAGTTTCATTGTGGGCTATTTGTACGTGAGATAACCAGCGAGAAGATATAAATGAACGCTGGAATCGGCTGCTAGTTTCTAAGCTGCTGGAACCTAACTTGTTTCACCGAGGCTAATACCCCATTCGCACGATCATAAAGGTGCCTTAAGCTAAGGGACCTTTATGGGCGGCGGCGAGTCAGTTCGCGATCATCCGGGCGTGGCCTATGCTCGCTAGAGTTCCTGCATAGGCTCCCTACGGGATACCGTAGGTAGCATATACAGGAACTCTAATGCTCGCGATCCAAGAGCGCGGTCTGGTGTGCCGATCGCAAAAATACCCAAGCTAAAAGTACCTTAGGCTGACCGTGTACATAAGTATGATACGGCTTCAAACCAGTTTTAGCATTACTTGTAAACGGATGCTTTCTTTTCTAGGAAAAAAAACATACTGTGAAGTCGGCAAATGCACAGAAAACGCAGTGTATACGCGGCATGCCACCACAGCAGGGCTCCCCTTCTACCCGTCCATGATGAGTGCCATTATACAATTGCTGTTTTTGTTACTATTTCTTTTTTTTTTTTCTTATTTCATTCGTTTAAAAGAATTACATAGCTTTTTATGTTGCCTCATACATAATGCACGTGGTCGGTATCAAATCCCCGTTATGGCGCGCTACCGAATCCGATGCCATCGCAAAAACAAGAATCGCTGGCAAGAAATGGGAAGATCGTTACGAAAAAGAAAACTGTTCAATCGAAGCAAAGAATGACCGAAGAGGTGGGTGCACCCATTTACGAAGAGGCATTTCGACAAGAAGCGACTTGCCATATCGTTCAATTTCGGGAGAAGCAACGCCCAGTTGCGGCAGAAATGCTCAGCAAGCGATACGCCCGCTGCGCGAGTAATGCGCTTTGCCCCGTGCTTGTATTTTGAGTCATTTGTGTCCCTCCGTCGTTTATGGGTGTGTACCCTGCCGTACTGGCGAGCCTTAAAACAGAGTCAAAATTGGCACATTTGTAGCAGCGGGATATGGTTCATCGGCGCAGCCAATTAATTAAGGGTCCTCTCAGTTTGCGCTTTGTGCAGGCAAGTGAGGAGCCGAAGCCCCTGCATGGGTTAGGAAATGAATTTGAAAAGTTCGGTTGTCTTACAGTTGGTGGTTTCGATAGAGTTGCATGTCTTAAAGCACTGGAGGGATTTTTCGACTTATGCAGATACCGCCACACTTAGAATCATGCAGTGTGCAGTCTCCTATTGGTACCCCTTAATCGAGCGACGCGCTGCCATTGTCTTTTTATTTATTACAATTTCAACGTTGAAATTTTTAGCAACGGTTCGACGTTTTTGACTCAAGCGCCTTTCATCGTCCCCCACTTTGGTGGCATCCAGCGCTGTGCTGCCCGTGAGTTGTGCACCCCCCCCCCCCCCCCCCCCCCCGGGTTGACGTTCACGTAGAACAGGGACAGAGATGGGGAGGCACAAGAAGGCGGAACAATCTACTTCTTTCAGGGCGTTTTGTCACCTCTTGGATGTGTTGCGTTACGTGATACAGTTCAATTCACGCCGTTTTATTTGTGAATAAGCACCGATGTGTTACGCCAGTTGCAGGTTTTAAAAAATATACACACTGGACAACAGACGTCCTAGGTGTGATTCGTGTGACCGTGTGATTAAACATGACACCGCATGACGCCACCAAAAGCGTTACCATGAGTCCTGGCATCGTGCTGCACCTCCAATTTGCGCAGCTCTGGTCTATATGCAGTTATATAGCTACTACGGTTGTTCCACCGTCCCAGAGTTGACTCCGTCATCGGTGCCATCGTGCCGAAACTTGAACACGTATAGTAACCCAACTACGGAAAGATATGACCCCCCCCCCCCCCCCCCTGCAATATATCGGACTACTCTTCTTTCCCATTTATTGGATGGTAGAATTCAACTTCTAACAAAAGCGTGAAGTGAGGCGGCCCTATTGACTTAATAGAATTTACCATTGTCTGTCAACGCTGCACCCCTCTCCGTAATCCATAGCGTGAACCGCGGTGCTGAGCATTCGCTAACGAGCACTCTGTGGCGCAGGTCCCGCCATTCCGATGGACCCGACCGAGGCGGCCCAGGCCATCTTCCCGTCCATGGCGCGGGCCCTGCAGAAGTACCTGCGCATCACACGGCAGCAGCCCCGGCACACGATGCAGGGCATCCTGGACCACCTGGCCGAGTGCCTGCACTACGACCTCAGCCCGAGGGCCTTCCTCGAAAAGTACCTGGTCTCGGCGCCCGTGCTCCAGGACGACCGGGAGGTCCGCCCCGTTCAGACCTGGGCCCTGGTGTGCGACGTGCTGCTGTCCAGGCCGCTCAAGCCGGGCGTCAGCTTCTTGCTGCGCCAGGGCGAGATCTCGCTCCTGGTCAGCGTGCACGCGCTGCCGCACTTTAACGTCACCGAAGAGATCGTCGACCCGAAGTCCAACCGCTTCGTGCTCAGGCTCAACTCGGAGACGTCCGTGTGACGGTGTCCGGACCTGCCCTGACTTCCCCCGGAGAGAAGTCGGCCGGTCCGAGGCTAACGGGGCCCTTCCCGCCTCTTTTCTTCCTCGTAGTCTTCTCTGTGCCACTGCCCGTCCCTGGCTTTGCTCAGCTAGACGGCCTCGCCTGGACGTCAGTTCATCGTCGCTGGGTCCGAAACACGATGTCCCCTTCGATTTCACGCGGGCTTATGAAGTGTGTCACTATACGCTTCTGGTGCACTGGCTTTCCTAAGGTGGAGAATGCATACCTAGTAGTAAACTGACCATTACCGGTCTGTTTCCTGCATTTCACAGTTTGTATCTGAAGTAGCTGACCTTTTGTCTGTTCGGCGTCATTTCGCTGTTGGAAAGCGTGGCTCTTCGCGACATCAGAAGGCAATTAGTCCGCTTGATTACAGTCCCCTCTTTATCAAGGTAGAGCAACGTACATTATGCCTGCCTAGTTGCCGGTCTACCCTCGAGGCGTTCTGACGAATGTCTAAAGCGTGCTGACGCGACTATTGTGTTGCCGTTTCGTGGATAGTCGATGCCTTAGCAGCATGATACAGATGCGAAGAGCCTTGAATCGTTGCACGGCTGGCATTTTGATTCGGATAACCGAGGCCCCCATCTGTGTAGAGTGCTGGCCACACCACGCTTACAATCCACCGTTCGTTCAAATCAGGAAACGTCATTTGAAACAGGTTGCCGCACTTTCCGGTTTGGTGAGTCAACCACGCCCACGGGTTGATGTGCCGCCGAGGCCGCTAGCTCTAATCGCTGGGATTCTTGAATTAGCGGGAGAGATAGTCATCGGCGCTTCCTGCTGCTTCTCAGAAACGAAACCAAGAGACAAAGTGAAAAGAAAACACCGCTGTCCCCGTAAACGGGGCAGCGGGGGGTGTCGCCATCTTCAAATCGTGCCAGAGAATTATCTTTTACTTTTTTATAAATAACTGCTTTGCGATAAAACTTTTTTAAGGGTCAAAATGCGTGTTTTTTTTACTCTGAACAAGAAGCTGCTCGAATGCAAGACCGACACCGCCACTGCTCACATTGAGCTAGCCCGGGTGTTTGCGCACGCTTCGCCGTAGTGCTATTTATTTCGGGCAACTTTTCATTCGCCCCGTCGGCCGAAATCATCCGACTCAATGTGTACATATCAGCTACGAGGTCGCGCCTTTCCAAGGCGGCACGAGCGAGTATTCTACGATGGCATCGCTCGGGGTTGTCCAAACGAATGGGGTTTGCGCTGCCAGCCGCAAACGAAAAGTGAGGTATAGCTTACGTGGTGAAGTTGAGAAAACGCATATCAGGTATAGTGTGAGGCTCGTTTTCGTAAACAAGCGCGTGGTTTCGTCGTGTGCATGTAAGTGTTTATGGAAGAAACTAAGCGTCTCCTATAAGTCTCAGATGCGGCACGTGCCTCGTTTTGACAGCTATGCAAACGAAGTTAGAGGCACGAAAGAGTTCAAACTCGTAAGCGCAACCAGATTTTTTTTTTTTTTTGTTTAAGTTAGCCTAGAGTGTGTTGTATGAAGCGTTCCTTCGGAGGGACGCGGAGGGCAGTAGAGTTGGCCGCTTGCCAAACGCCTGCACAGGGCATGAACTGCGCCTGTTCGAAAGCGTCGCGTGTCAGCGCGCTAGGAATTACTAGGAATCCCCCACTCGACTCCCTTTTATGTCCAATCTGAGCGTCTGCGCATCCTCCGTATTGTCACAAGAAGAAAAAAAATAGGCAAAAATATAACGACTGGGCGACGCTTCGAAAATACACGACAGTTCTCCATATAACGGTTCCCTCGGTGTATACAAATGGAGCTGCAGGTACTTTTTTTTTTCAATCAACTTCATTGAGATTTTTATTTTATTTGTTTTATTTTTAAATTTTACATTCACGGTCAATATTGAAGATAACTCGACGACATCGGGCTCTGGGCATGGCACAGCTTGGGTGTCTCAGCCTGTGCGCTTCGACGTTGACATATCAGGGACTCGCGCGATTGTGAGTGCTGCTATCAATATCGCGAGAAAATTAGCCAAGGTGGCGAACCTCGTTAAGGCCACCAGAAATTAGATTTCGTGGCAATTCTTAGTGCGCGCCAGAGTCGTGTTTTGCCTTTTGTGTTTCCGAGCTCGTGGTGTGCGTGTGAACGTTTTCGTGTGCCCATGGACTGACGGGCCTCCTCTTTGAGAGAGGAAGAGAGCGTCGCACAGGAGTTCGCATCGACGATTCTTAAGAACTTGCCAGCAAAGTCTTCAACGTCTTTGGTGTTCTCTTTTTTTTTTTTTTTTTTTTTTTTTACCAGTTTGCGTGTGAGTGTTGCACTGACGAAGATCAAGAATTTGCTTGGACACCTTCGAACAACAACAGCAGCAATAAATTCTGACAATTATTCTTACGAACACTGGGGCTTCCTTGCTTTAATGAGTAAACTCGCAATCTGTTGCAAGCTCATGAAGCCTCGCGTTCGTCTAAAGGCTTGGTTGGCTGACCTTGTGGCAAAACTGTGCTACCAACTGATGTCCTCAGGTAGTACTAAAGAAATGGTTCTACAACAGCAGCAGCGATCTCCAATCAGTAAGCCTCAAGACTACAATAAACGCCGGTCGTTTCAATAAAACGACCGGCATGCCAAAAAAAAAAAAAAAACGTACCACAGAGGTTTCGGGAAACCCCCCTCCCCCCTCTTTACCAGGAGCTCATCAGGACAGAAAATACCTTCTCTTCGGGGTCCTGTGGGAGCACGGGTGAGCACGGGGGAAGGGGGGCGGGGGTTAGATTAACACTTAGTTTACAAACAAGTGCACATTTGCCCACACAGGAGTGGGCGCTGCGCATGGGCAGAAACCAGGTTCGCGTGAAGTGTCTACGCATGCGCCGCGCCCGTACAGCAGCGCCACCGTAGCAGCGTGACGCCAAAGCCACGCGTTGGTGCATCGACACTCCCAGAGAGAGCTACAACAGCCCCCGTCTAAATTGCAGCTCGCGTCGACAAGTTATGGGGTCCCGATAGCCGAGGTAGGGGAAGCGTCGGAGGGGACACCGCCTACACGTCCAAACCCTGTCGCGGCCTCCGGATGAGTCCCCTGATCTCCCTTTTCAGAACGGGAGGAAACGCCAAATCTTCTCCCCAAGTGATCGTCACCGCTTCCGACATCATGTGAGAAGCTGTAAAGTCCCCTCCAATGCATGGCTTGCATGTGGCGTCATCGTGTCCTGCTGGTGGTCATTCCGAGTTGTTCTTGCCGAAAGGTCATCACAATGGCTTCTGATCTGACGTCAGTGCAAGCCGGGCGGAACGTCTCTGCACGAACGACGGCTGTCGAATCAACGGCAAAGGGTATAAAGCGCCGAAAAAACACGGACCGAGACACGAAGAAAACAACGACAGCGCCCAGTGTCGTTGTTTTCTTCGTGTCTTGGTCCCTGTTTTTTTTTGTTTTTTTTTTTCGGCGCTTTATAACTTTTGCAATCTACCAACCGGCCCATCTAAACACATTATTGCACAATGTTGAATCAACCCCACAACCTCACTCCTCGAGTTTCGCTCGCTGTCAGACTAAAACCGATAGCGCCGTCCACACTTCGTCCCAGCCAGTTTCGATTGAGCCTGGCGGCGCTGTGCAAAAAGAAAAAATAATAATAATAATGACCGATCGCAGAGGGAAGCCTGCAAAACCTAGGAGCTCATGAGGTGTGACTTCCAAGGAGCTCGAGATAGCCCATACTCGTCGCTTCCAGGCATGCCTTTCCAGTGCGAGCCCTCCTCCTGTGAAAGCACTCTCAAAGGCGCGATCTCGTGCGCCAGATTTACAACAACGCCATAAAGTCACGACGTGGCGGTTGTCGCGGAATTAGTTTTAGTATTGCGCATACGAGCAAGCGCAACCACTGCGCGTTTGCGTTGCGTCTTTCAAACTTAGCGTTTGCGGAGCCCCAAACTGCTTCTCGGATCGTCGAAAGGCGACGGCGCGCATACGCAGGGTGGAGCCTTCAACGCTAACGTAAACGCACAGAACTTCGTTTGTTCCATTAAAGGGCCTCTGACTGCTAAGCGTTGCATGGCATGTCAGGGCATTACAAAAAAATTGTTTCACTATAGAGGTGCGTAGTTTTTTTTTTTTTTTTTTTTTTTTTTTATAAAAATAGAAATACGAGGCCCAATTCAAAGTTCCCGCCAGCGCACTGTCACGTAACAGTGTACCGCAAGGTGTCGGGGCGGTCAGAAGGGAGGCATCGGCGGAAGTCACGTGAGTTGTATCCCTCCTCGTGCTTACCGCGAGCGCGTGTAATAGTTTTTAAATATTTTTGTTGTTCTCCGCACCTCCACGAGCGACCCAAGCAGACAAGGTTTCCTTTATCTGCTTTTCATCGCTTAATGTTGCTGTAAAGGTAGAAGAAGAGGAGTCAGTGAATTGACGTGATCAACTACAATGCCTAGAAGGTGCTGTGTGAGGGACTGCCCTGGTATTTCAGCAACTGAAGAAGATATCACACTGCATGCATTTCCGAGGGACGGCAGGCATCTTCAGCCTGGAAAGTATACGATGATTCGACAACCTCGGTGTCCGAACCTTCAGCAATGCGATTGGGCGTGTCGTACGCAAGCAATCCTAATTTCTGCGAGCGTTTTAAAATTTTTTTTGCAAGACTTGATAGCTTCTTTTGTGCACAGTATAGCTCTGTATCATCGGACTGATCGCATACACTCGTACACTGGCTTGTACTCGCAACGCTTTCATCATTGACCTTACTGACTCTTCGTTCTCAACTTTTACAGCACGCAAACTAACCAACGGTGCAGCGATAAAGAGCTAGTGGAACTGAAACTTCGTTTTCTACGATCGCTCGTGCGAAAAGCAGAATAAAAAATAAATAAAAAAAAGTCTTAGGCACGGTCGCGGAGAGTACGAGGAGTGAAACTCACGTGACTTCCGGCGAACTTACTTTTAGTGACGTAGGTCGATGCCTCCCTTCTGACCGCCCCGACACCTTGCGGTACACCGTTACGTCACAGTGCACTGGCGGGAACTTTGAATTGGGCCTCGTATTTCTATTTTTATAAAAAAAAAACTACGCACCTCTATAGTGAAAAATTTTTTTGTAATGTCCTGACATGCCATTTAAACGCCCAGTATGAAAAAAAAAACAATTTTTTTTGGCGTGTCAGAGGCCCTTTAATGCTATCTTTTTTTTTCTAATGTTTTTGTTTGCATTCTTCATTGCCGGCTAATATATAAGCTGACAAAATGTAACTTATCCACTTGGTTAAATGGGTCACAAAACTTGTTAACTTACCGACACCAGTCTGTTGTAATTGCTCAAGATATTTCCTCCTCCCCTCCTGTAACGTCCAGTGTCCCGCAAGGGTCGGTACTTGGTCCTGTGCTCATTCTGATATTTATCGATGATCTTCATTCTAACAGCCATTCTCGCACTCGTCTGTTCGCAGATGACTGTGTCATTTATCGTCCAACACTACGCCCTATGGTTTATAACATTTCGCAGGATGACTGGCGTATTATCCCAGACGGGTGCGCAACGTGGTTGATGAAAATAAATACTAGCAAAACCAAAGCTATAACATTCACCACAATACGACAATCCGCTACGCAGACATACTTAATCGGTAATTATCCTATCGAAAATGTGTTTAAATATCATGGCGCCTATCCTCTGATCTTACCTGGAACACTCACATTAAATATATTGCCAACAAAGCGTGGAAAATTCTTTGCTTCTTCAACCAAACTCTCTTCCAAGCAAACGCAAAAACAAAACTTAGTGCCCACACTGCTCATGTGACATATCCTAACTGGAGTATGCATCTATCATTTGGCATCCTCACCAATCATATATGAAAGATAATATTACAAAATCCCTCCAAAACAAAATCGCTGAGTTCATAGTTCGTGACTATTCCCGCCCTACCAGTGTAACCAATATAAAGCATCATCGACTTATCACCTCTTCATACCAGAAGGAA